TAAATGAAGGCATACCGGGTTCAGCCGCCCTTTCCGCAACTTTTGTGATCACAACGTTGTTTTCCAGTGGTGTGAGCGATCCGCCGCGGGGCTGCCTAGAAGTACCCTCGTGTTTTGACTTCCAGAAGAACACAAATAAAACTTTTGGAGAGAAAAATAATGTCGCAGCAGAAAGCGCAATACTTACCATAGGAGACAGAACACAGGAGAATGCAGGCTGCTAAAGCGTTAACAATCAGAGGCATCGAACCGCCGCCACTGCTTTCGTCAGCAGAGGTGAGACGGGATGTGTCTGCGGTCATTACGTCCCTGGAAATAGCATGGAAACTAAAATGAGTTAAAAGAGATGGCACTGTTAATCTAAATCAATTACGTGCAGATCTCTTTCGCCTCCCACTCGCAGTGAGAGGGCGAGACAAAGCAAGCATGATCCCGCTTTTTCACGATGCACGAATCTGTATTTACCCTACCAGTATGGCACTGGAAATTCGACTTCAACAGATGAGAATGTAGGAGTTAAGGCTGGTGCGGCGTCGAACGCGCATCCATTTGCCAGCCTAGGCCGGTGAATCCATTGTGTTTAGGTATGGCAGCTGTGGATTTCACTTTGTACCTCTTTCATGCCAATAACAACTATTTACTTGAGTATTCAGAGTATTTTAGGATGTCCTGGGCAGCGCAGGGATCTGGGTCGCCTGCGGCAACTGGAGGAGCTGATTCGTCGGCCGCCGAGTGTTAATGCAGAGGCCAACAGCACTGTACTGTATAATCCTGTCACTCAGCCCCTGAAATCAGCGGCGGACTTCCGCCGGCTAATTAACTTCCTGCTCGAAGAGGAATTCCGAAAGGAGTTTGTACGCAACACTCAAGACCACCAAGCACATTCTGACGATGGAAGTGAGAAGGTTTTCGAAAAGTCAGTTAAAATATAATTTGGTCGATGAACCCGCCCCCTCTTCTTCTTCCATACCTTAGGGAGATGATGAACTCGACATTTTAATATTAATATTTGCATTAGATCTCATACCTCAGCAGCCTGGGTGGCAGAATTATCGACGAATTCGTAAAGCGAAATTTTTGGACCTTTTTGAAGATAAAATAACGGTCTTCATTAACTTCAAAAGTCATAATAACAAAATGGTCATTTACAAGTCCAAACTTTATGACGTCGTACTGGGTGTGTCTCCTATTAACTAGTTGACTGTATATTCTTAGAGCTGTTTGACACTTGGAACTCGGAGAGCAAATACAAGCTCACGGACCTAGACAATGTAATAATTGGGAGGCGTAGGGCCATGCTTAACACCTACAGTCAACATTTTGCTAGAGAAAAGAAGAAGAGTAAGACGACTGGTAAGTCCATTTACAACTTTTTAGAGTACTGCTGGCCTTTAGACGCCAATGGTGGATCATCTACGGGCGCTGACCACG